GTAAGATGCCTGGGGATTCTTGTTCCAATCAGGTCAGAACATTTTCTAAATGAGTACCTATGTTCCATTCAAAATTTTAATGCAGCCTAAAACTTTCTGGGTATGTCTGCTCACGTAAATGATCCAGATTTTATATTTTTAAATACTAAAATAACGGTAATACACCAATAAAATATCTGTATTCTGTATATAAAGTAAAAATACCACCACGTAGAGAACACTGAAAACTGACACGGCCACGCATAGGACAGGGCTCAGGAGAGCAGAGCTGATGTGTGGGGTAAGCATCCTCCCCAGAGAGCCAGCTCCAAGTCCTGTAAGGATGCGTTCTCTCAGCTAAGGTCTGTGCAGAGAGAGGAGGCAAGGCCTGGGGGTAGCGGTAGAGGATGCTCAGATTTATGGAGAAGGACATAATAACATCAAAGAAAGATGCAGCAGGCACAGCCCAAGAGGAAGGAGGAGAGGTAGTTTCAGGAAGGGGAATGACTCCAAGAGGGTCCAAGGGAGAAAAGCAAAGAACAAGGGCTACTGGGTTTGGCATTCAAAGGGAAGTGATTTGGAATTTAGTCACTGCCTCTCTGATCAATATTATAAACCAGACACTGTGGGGGGTCCTTTGCCTATATTAGCTCATTTACTCTTTGCAACCAGGCATTATTGTGCCTACTTTAAAGATGAGGAAACTGAGTAGCAGAGAAACTAAACATGGGAGCTCATCTGTGGCCTGCAGAAAGCAGTCCCAGGCAGCTGACATCTTCTGTAAGAGAAACACTAAAAGGAGCAGGCAGCCAAGTCATCTGCCTTAGGGGCAGGAAGCCTCCCACATCCACCCCAGGAACCCAGGACTCCAGAAAAAGACGCTGCCTCTGTTGTAACTGCCTCCAGAGGCCTCCAAACACACCATCACGAAGCTGGGCACACTATACCATTTGCCACACCCCTTCACCGTGAGTAATTCCTCTCCCCAATGATTTGGGAACGGTGGACAGAAGAATGGCCCAACTGGCAGTGGCGTGTACCTGTGGCCAGCTGCCCTGTGGCATCCCAGGTCCTCAATATACTAAGCATCTTCCTTCCATGACTGTGTCAAAGAATAAGGCCCAGCCCTCCCCTCAGTCGGCTGCAGTTCTAATAGGGCCCTGGACATTTTCCGAGAAGTTTTGCTTCATCAGAAGCCAATCAGGCCATTAACATCTTCCTGCTTCCACATCTGAGCCAACCTTCCACATCTGTGCAACCTCCCGGCCTTTGCACACCACAGACTCCCTCCAAAGGAACCAAAGTCATCTCACTAGGGAGGGTCATCCAAAGGTCTTGGCACCTTGCAATTGTGCGGGCTACGATGTTGCAGGGAGTGGCAGCCACGCTGAAGGCGCATCAGAGGAGGTGGCCCTCGCCTGGCCTGTGGCTCCCAGTGACTCAAGCCCAGGAACCCAGCCAAGATATGGTGACGCAATCACCCAGAACAGCCTCAGTTACCACCAGTACCTTCAAGTGTGGCCACCACCCAAGGACTTCAGTCCTGGGGAAACAGTTGGCCCCACCTCCTCCTCTCTACTCCAATTCTTCTGCAATGAGTCACCAACATGTCACAGATGGGCACTCAGGCTGCACACCTGGTCCACCCAGTGTGAGGAGCATCATGGCACATAATCTGCCCCCGCGGTTTTGCCCTGTGCTCCTCCCAGCCCTGGGGTTCTCAGGCACCCGCAGGAGGGTGCCAGGCAGAATGGGAGGACTTTGGCCACCAGCGCCACTTCTGCCTGGATTATATAGGAGGGTTCAGGATGACATTTTGATTTAAAAAAAAGAAAAGGTCCTATTGCTTTAAAATGTTTGAAAAGTACTGTTCAAAACAAATAGGCAAATTGGTACAGAATTTGGTTACCAACTCCCGCTTGACACAGAATACATTCGCCTCTTTCTTCGGGTCTTCTTTAGCGGTGACATGCCCCCCAGCGCCTCACAGCACCACTGTCAGCATCAGAAACCCTCACAAACATCTCCCAGGCGTTCTGCATGGGTCTAACTCCAACAGACCCAATCCCACTTCCTCCATCCTGCATACAGGGACAGCCACCAAGGCCCCTGCCCTGTCACGCCAGCTTGTGTCCCCTCTTCAAGAAGCACTCCTTCTCATTCCCTGTGTGCTAAGCTGCCCACGTGCCCCTGGACACAGCCTAGGCCCACTTCTCTGATCAACCTATCAGCTCCAAAAGGGACAGCCAGGGAGGGGAGCAGAGGCAGGAGGGGACACCCTCACAGCAACACAGGGCCCCTCTCAATCCTGGTCAGCAACAGGGGTCCAGCGGCTGAAGCCTGACCACTTCCGCTCTCTTTTCTTGGTTATGAGCTTTTTTACTCCCAAACTTTTTCTTTGGAGGATGTCCAAAGCTACAGAGAAACTGAAAAAATAGTTCAACTGCATAACCAAAGTACCACTATCACAAGTAAGAAAAGTAATATTTATTTAATAATAACCAATATAGTGAATAAATATTATATTAAATATATTAGGTATTCAATAATATCTAATATCTAATAATATACAATTATCCCAATGTATCTTTTATACACTTTTTTGATCCAGGATCTAATCAAGATTCACCCATTTGGGGCTGGCCTGGTGGCGCAAGCGGTTAAGTGCGTGCCCTCCACTGCGGCGGCCCAGGGTTCGCCGGTTCGGATCCTGGGCACACACCGATGCACCACTTGGCAAGCCATACTGTGGCAGCGTCCCATAAAAAGTGGAGGAAGATGGGCACGGATGTTAGCCCACGGCCAGTCTTCCTCAGCAAAAAACGAGGATTGGCAGATGTTAGCACAGGGCTGATCTTCCTCACAAAAAAAAAAAAAAAGATTCACTCATTTGATGTTAAGTCTCTTTATTAGTGTCCTTTATGGCCAATAGAGTCTCACCTTTTTTTTTTTTTTAATAACACTGAATTTATTGAGGGGTTCTGGTCAATCGTTTTACAGAATGTCCCACATTTTGGATTTTTCTGTTTCCTTATTACTAGATTAAGTTAAACAAGTTTAGCATGAATATTACATAGATAACATTGTGCACTTCTTAATCGCATCACCTCAGAAGTCACATAATATCAGGTTGTCCCACTATCAGTAATGCTAAACTGGATCATTTGGTTGAACTGACTGCCAGATTGTGCCCCTGTCCCTTTAGAATCAGTAAGTAATCTGTGAGAAGATACTTTGAGACCCGTGAATATACTATTCCACAATAATCTTTCACCAACTAGTTTTTGCATACATTGATGAGCCAACCAGGGGGTAACAAAATAGAGATTTTCTAAATTTATCAGCTGACATTCTACAAAGAAGAGCTTCCCCTTTTCCACTCTCTCTCCCCCTCTCTCTCTCTGATTATTACTACATACTCACGAATCTTTTTTTATTATCCAACATGTCATAACCCATCACTGTCCTTATTCTCTTTGATGCTCAAATTGTTCCATTTTTGCCAGTGAGAGCCCTTTCAGACCAGCTTCTGGGTCCTCTGCTACGACCCCATTCGTCCTTGCTTTCTAGCACAAGACGTCCCAGGCTCACCTTGTACTTTCCCTGCTCCAACCTGGAACCAGCCATTTTTCTGGATCCTTTTGGTGGGACTCATCCTCTCTGTTTAGCAGACAAGCAACTTTACATTCTCTCACCTTGCTTAGTCATAACTTCATTTCCCTTCCTCCCTTCCCCCTTTCTCTGTCATTCACCATCTGCATGAGCACACAGACCTCTCTGTCCTTGGTAGGAAGTGGGGAGAAGAAAGGCGCAAGAGAAGGGAAGGAGAGACAAAGATTTATGGTAAATTTAGGGACATTACCAACCATTTACCAATCAACGACAAGCTGCCTTTCCTATAGATGACCACGTGATTGGTTAACTCCAAAGCAAGGCTTGTATTTCAACAAGTCATTGTCTCATGATTCTATTTATGAAATTTATACGATATTATATCGTATCATTTTATTGTTTTATTTTACACTTATATAAGATATACGCACAAGAAAAAGTACTACCTACCCCCTGGCACTCCTATCCCCTTCTCTCAATTTTTTATCTTCATCAGCACTTACTACGTTTTAAACTCTATAAAATGTGCTTCATTTTTTAATTTTCCTCCCACTAGAACATAAGTTCTGTGAATGACAGGTATTTTGTTGTTTACTGCTTTGCTCACTACTCAACTTGCAGTGTCTAGCACAGTGCCTGGAACACAGTAGCTGCTCCATAACTGTTTGTGAGTGAGAAAATGGCTTGCCCAGGACCACAGGGCTAGAGGTGAGCAGACCTCCTACACATCCTTTAAGCTTCTGCTTCAATGCCACCCCCAAGCAGTTACTCCCTTCCCTGTGTCCCCAGAGCCCTTCTTACACTCTGGATCCTGACACTTGAACTATCACACCATCGTTGTTTATCTATACGTCTGGCTCACCTGAAAAACTCTGAGTTCCTCTAAGGCAAGGACAAGGTCAAACTTATCTCCACGGCCCAGCACTTAGCACAGCAGGGGGCACAAAACCCTCTGCTGACCTCCTCCTCCTCCAGCCAGTGCCCGGCTGCTCGCCAGAGCTGCCTGCTGGGCCTTCCTCTCCCGGCAGCCTCTCCACAGCGTGAGAAAGCCTCAGGCCCCGCTAGCAGCTCACAATGGGCCCTTTGACTCAACTGGACTGGGCTCTTTCAGGAAAAACACGTTCCCCACCACAGCACCTGTCACTAAGGCCAGAGTCCCTACAGCTTCAAGGCAACACAGAGCCAGTGTTCACCAAGAAACAGGAGCAGGGGCTCGAGGCCAGCAGAGCAGCCTGACTTCTGGGAAGGTGGGAGATGGGGTGGTGAGGTCAAGAGGGCCTCTCATGAACACAGTTGTGGACAGGCAGGCTCTGTGAACAGCCTGGAGAGAGGACAGCAGGGGAGAGAGAATAAAATGAAAGAGGACAAGGATCAGAACTTGTCAGAGCTCCACCTCAGAGACGACTTACTTGCTCTTTTCTTTCAATCTTCTTTTCACTTTGCTCAGAAACTGGGTTCTCGGGAGGGACAGTCAGCCGTAGTCTGCAGACATTTGCCTAGGGAGAGAAGGAGAGGAGAAGCCAGTTATGAACCCGCATTGGGGGTAGAAAGAGTCAGATGACCTGGGGCTTCTCAGAGACTGTTTCCCCTGCTTTGCAATGGGGGTGATCATCCCACTCACACAGGGGACTCTGAGGGTAAGACCAGCCTTTGCCTGGCCCATCAGAGTGACTCACCACCCTGCTGCTCAAAACAAGGACACTAGTGAATAATTTCATAGAGTTCAAACATTTTTTTCATGGCTCAGGTTCCATAACAGTATAGAATGATCTTATTTCATATGCACAGGCCAAAATACAGCTAGAGGGATAGAGGCCAAAATACTCACAGTGGTGACTGGGGTGTGAGGGTGCTTTCTGCTTGACCATATATTGCATTTTTCTATAATAGACATGTATATGTTTAATCACAAAGTTTTTTTAAAAAGCCTATAACCCATGTTCATAGCAGCATTATTCACAATAGCCAAAAGGTAGAAGCAACCCAAATGTCCACCGATGGCTAAATGAATAAATAAAATGTGGTATATACACAGAATAGACTATTATACCTTAGCCTTAAATAGGAAGGAAACTCTGACACATGCTACAACGTGGATGAACCTTAAGGACATTATGCTAAGTGAAATAAGCCAGTCATAAAAAGACAAATACTGCATGGTTTCACCCATATGAGGTACGTAGAGTAGTTAAATTCATAGAGACAGAAAGTGGAATGGTGGTTGCCAGGGGCTGAGGAGACCGAGGAATGGGGAGTTATTGTTTAACAGGTATGGAGTTTCAGTGTGAGAAGATGAAAAAATTCTGGAGATGGATGGTGGTGATGGTCGCACAACAATGAGAATATACTTAATGCCACACGATGTCTATTTCACCCTATTGTCACAGCCTGGTCCTGCTGTGACATTTCCCAGGGAGAAGTGATCCTGCCATTAAAAAAAACCCAAAGAGGGCTCCAGCAGCACCCAGACTACCCAGCCCACAGCCACGAGGGCTCGACTCATGGGAGTGCTGCTTGCCCCGCTATGGGTTGAACTGTGTTCCCTAAAATTTATATGTTGAAGTCCTAACCCCCAGCACCTCAGAATGTGACCTTATTTGGAAACAGGGTCTTTACAGAGGTAATCAAGTTAAAACGAGGTCATTAGGGTGGGTCCTAATCCAAAATGACTGGTGTCCTTATAAAAAGGGTAAATTTAGAGACAGACACACATATTGGAAGAACGCCATGTGAGCAAGCCAACGAAAGGGGCCTGGAATAGCTCTTTCCTTCACAGCCCTCAGAAGGAACCAACCCTGCTAACACACCTTGATTTTGGACTTCTAGCTCCAGAACTGTGAGACAACAGATTTCTGTTGCTTAGGTCACGTGGTTTGTGGTACTTTTCACAGCAGCCCTAGCAAACTTATACACCCCTCAATCTGGTTTGCAGGCTCACTGATCTGCACTGGTGACTTTGAGCAAAACTATCCTGCAGCCTAGAAGCCAGGGTTGGATGGGATTGTAAAAGACCTTTTTAAGTCCAACCTACCAGCCTGGGAAGGAACCTCCACACCCAACAAAGTACCTGGCAGGTGGGCACCCAGCCTGAGGGTACCATTTTCCATGCACAAGTGAGAGAGCCATTTGGGACACATGTTAGCACTTCCACATACAACACTGCCTCCCTCTGAGGCACCCATTTTGCTACCTGGCACCTCTAACTTCCTGGTAATGAACTTATAAGCTCTTTCTCAGAACTCCTACCTAATGGACCCAGGGCTGACCTCGGGGACTGCAGCAGAATTCTCTTTACTCTAGACAGGCCTCCTGTCCCCCGAACCTTCTTTCTTCTGCACTAAACAACCCCAATTCTTTCAGCCACATAATTTGGTTTCAAGATCACTCTCTATCCTCCCTCTCCTCCAGGCAAGCTTCATCTCCCAATGACCCCAGCATCAGATGTGGCCTGACCCCCAGGGCTATCACTGCCTCTTATGTAGCCAACTTTGCACCAAACCTTCAAAGCTCACTGTCAGTCATGTTGGCCAAAGAGAAACCAAGCCATTCCACCAGTTAGCTATCTTAGCTGACAGGCAACAAGACTGATGGGAATCCGAGTCCCTCCAGAGAAAGGCAAACCTCTGACTTCAGGCCACGTGGACTGGCTGAAGCCAGCTTGCATTTGCACAAACATCAAAGTATAACTCACACCAGGCAGACAATCCAAGTCTGTGATGCTCAATAATCTTCTCTGATAGGCTGGATCTAACCCACAGCATAATTTTGCAGAGAAAAGGAGGTGCTTTTCTCCTGCACCACAACCCATACACACACACGTGTGCACATACACATGTGGTACATACATGCACATCATACTTGCACAGGCGCACACATACATACACACAGATTCCAACACCTACTAGTTATGTTGACTACGGGCAAGCTATTTAATCTCTCCAGATCTAAAGGGTAAAATGCAGATAAAAGGAAGATGTCTGGCACATACTAAGCCTCTATCAATGTTAGATATTTTTATAATTATCTAGATATTATCATCATCCTACAAGCTACAAAATGAAACAGGCCTACGTGGCTTCACATCTCTGCTTTCCATGATGACAACAATTTGGTCAACGGATCTAGTGGGCATTAGCACCATAAGTGATATCTTTTTGTAGGTAGGTTGCCCTACAGGGGTAATTCCTAACAGCAATGATTTTCAAAATAAACTAAAAGACTGAAGAGGAGACAAGGCCCAGAAGGGATCCCATGGGTCCAATCACCCAAAAGTGAGATGTCCCCTCCCCCCGCTTGAGACAATTCTTTATCTACTATCTATCTGTGTGGTCCTGCCCATCCAGAACTCTGACATTCCTCAACACACTTCCTGCAGCTCTCTCTGAGCCATGTGTACCCTAGGTATATGAAGCCACAGGATAAACAGAATGCATTTCCCTACACCATCAGTTTTACCTGGTGATAGATAATGACTTAAAATAAAATGAACCTCTAAAATACAACATCTGCCTTCAAAGACATCTGGCGGTTGCAGCAGGTGCTGGAGGCCACACCCAGGCCCCTGAGTTAAGTGCTGACTCCCGTCATTAGAGGAGCTTTGATGGAAACAGTAAGGCATGGACTATACGTGGTGCTAGCATTCTTTAATCAGTGCTGACCCACTGATGGACTGACCGTACTTACGCAGTTTAAACCCAGCTTGCAACAGGATCACACGCCTTCCTAATAAGAGGGTCAAATGTACTGTCATGTGAAAAAAAGAAAGTTGCAAGAAAAAATTGTTAAGAATAATCCCATGTTTGTTTTTTTAAATACACTCTGATAATTTGTGTTGATTTAGAGAAAAAGTGTCTTTAAGGAAACACAACCAACTAGTGGTCGTGGCCATCTCTGGAAAGCGGGATTTCTGCGTTGTTTGCAACTGTTCTAACTATCCGTAAGTTTTTAAATTAAAATAATAATAATAGTAATAACAGCAATAATAAAGATTGAGAGAGAATGTATCAAAAAGAGAGAGAGAGATCAATCCCTCCCAGACTCACAGGACTGGTTCAGGAGCAGCAAAGAAAACATCCCAGGAGTCTAGAAGGTACCTGAATTCCTTACCAGAAGCACTAACTAACCCCTGAATACACACACTAGGTTGACCTGGTACAGTTTACCTCCCTTCATCATTCGCTTTCAGGAATCTCCCTCTGAGTAAGATCAAGGCAGTGTGGCTTATCTCTCTCAGCATTTTATGATGCTGATCTCTATGGTTTCCTGAAACTCAGATACACAACACCCAGAGCTGCCCCAGGCTAGGCAGTACCTGGGAACTGGAGGTTCCCTACCTGAGAGGCAGGTAGGGAACTGTACTCCCAGGGGTTCCTACAGCAGCTGGCTCAGACTTGTGTTCCGAACAATGAGGAGAACTGAATCTTACTTACCCTGAACACCATCGCAACCAGACCAGCCTTCCCTAGAAGCCAGGGTCCCTTCCAGTGGATGAAAAGGAAGATGGACTCAGTGTATTTCACCACTCAGTTACTGAGCACCCACTACTTGTAAAATACTTGCAAGGGCTAGGCGGTGGTCCCAAGATGAAAAAGAAACAGTGTGCCCCTACGAGTTCACAACCCAGAAACACACCCAAACAAGGGAATCAAGAACACTTAGTGTAACCAGTACAAGGTCCTGGGAGGCAGGGCAGCTTGGTGGTTAAGGCATGGAGTAACTGCACCTCCTGGATTCCAATATTGGTTCTGACAACCACTAGCTATGAAACCTTCGAAAAGCTACTTAATCTTCAGTGCTTCAGTGACCTTAGCTGTAAAACAGAGCTAACAACACTGTAGAACCACTCTCAGGATTGTGGCAAGGATGAAATTAGCTAAAATGTATAAACGTCTTAGAACAGCTTCTGGCACATATTAAGCACTCTGTAAGTGTACTTTTTTACCATGGGAATATAGGAAGGAGAACAATAACCTTAACTGGAGGTGGGAGTGTATGGGAAGGCTCCTAGAGATGACATTCGAGCTGGGTATAGAAGGACAGAAAGGACTTTTCAGGTCAGTAAGGTCAGGAGAATCCATCATCAGAATAACAACAGATGACTACCACGCAAGGCGCTCATCCAGGCTGGCCGAAGGCACAGACGTTGGCATGTTCTGAGAATGGTAAGTGGGCCTGCAGCCTAAGCTACAGTGGGAGAGGAAAATGGACAAACACGTGGCGCCAAACTCGAACAATCTATAAATGCCTGACGGGGAAGCAGGGACTCTGGTGGAAGACAATGGAGAGCCACTGAGCCCTCTGAAGGAAGAGACTAACACTCAAATCTGAGTTCAGTGATTGAATAGCAATTATTGAGTTCCTCTTATTATGTTCCATGCACTACAACATGGACAGAAGGGAAAAAATAGGGGGAGCGATCAAGCAAGCTTTGTACTTTAATTGCTTCTGCAGTCCTTACAGCGCTGAGCATAGTATTAGCACATAATAGGTGCTTGCT